TTGACAAAACTGTTGCAGATATTATGATCGATAACGCATTTTTATTTTATTGAGATTCTATTTAGTTTTGAGGATATGCATTTAAAAAAAAACTATTTTTTCACGATTCTTTTAAGTGTATGCGCATATTCAATGAAATATTATACTTTCTGCCGAAGCATCAACTTTCACGATATAGATCTGATGCTATATTAAAATGAATTTGACCACATATTATGATTTTAACAAAATGTTATTATAATTATAATAATGTTACATTTTGCTGTAATTTATAATTGCTTAGGTGATGGCAGTTTGTGGAATATATTTTAATATAAAATTCGCTTACATTACCTTTTTGCGCTTGTATAAAATAAACGTAAATATGAATATGAAATTTATGAAAATTATACGACTATTTATTAAAGCAGAAGAATTTACAAAAAGACAGATTTGATGATGTTCCCAGAGGTGTCGGATATTGTTTTGCATCGTGACACAGGAAAAGGGGAAATTATGTTCCGCTATGCGCCCGACAGGACATGCACACGGAAATCGTGATTTACTTTCCCTCGGTATAATAATGCGCTCATGATATGTTGGGCTACTGTCGTATATGAATGTGTAGTAGATCGATGCCATGTAGGGTCCTGAACGCATTTACATATTTGCTTGTGCTATATGTACAGTGTACACATAACACATATGCACACTGTGTGGCACCCACGTGTTGCCTTTTTTGACTTGGCGCCGTACGCGCCGTAACGCAAAGAATACGATAAACTCATTCAGAACTGGTGTCGAAGCTTAGTCATATCTATGATGGCTAGTAATTCGATATAAGGTAAAGAAAAAGTGGGACAATATGATATTATCACAATCATCGGGTATTTAGGTTTATGTACGTGCATTGACGTCGGCGCATATAAACTTTAAAAATTTTAGCTATAAATAATATAATATAATATTTAAGAAATAAACATAAAATTTTTAATATAATTTTATACTTTGCAAATACAAGATGTTTGCTTTGCTGTTTTTTTTTTCTTCCGTAGAACATTTACGTAGGAAATTATAATTTTTCAGAAGTTATCACAAGCTTTTCTGATTTTATTTCAGGTTTTGTGGCATCTTGATATTTTCCGACGGAGTTTCAGAGAGCTTTCCGGACATGCGTGCATGCGAGAATCTTGCATCTTCTGCGCACTCAAGGTAAGCAAATTAAAATTGCTAAAGAAAATAATTTTCTTAAATATAATTACTCATATCTCTTTCATGTTTAACAAGTCTGAAAACTCTGACGGATACGTAAACACAGAAAAAATTATTCGCGAACCATGTGTACCGATTATTTTTCTCTTCGCCTAATTAATTATAGTCTTTAACTACCATCGATGGCGATAATTGCACTTTTAACGACAAATGACAAATTATCAAAGCGGTTGTCGCTTTTATAATGCGCTACCTTGACACGTTTACGTATCGATGAGCTCTGGCAGCTTTGCGTCCTAACAAAGGGAAACAGAACCTTGCGCAGGTTTCGCACGAAGAAGAGAGGCTGGTATTTTTCCGGAAAAATTTTACGCCGTATGTAACTCAACGAGATTCATATTTCGAAACAATCTCACGGTAACAGTGAAAATAGGGTGTGTGCCCGACAGATAAAATGTCTTGATATTTTACACGTGAGGAAGGCAAAACTTATAATTTTCCAGCGCGCAAGTCATTGCGCGCTGAAACATTTGCATCGAACTTGTGATGCAAGCGAAAAATTCACTCTAATAATAATTACAACAATGTTAATTTTGTATTTACGTGCTTATTACCTCATTATTTATTTATTGTTTACTACAGTTTTCCTATTAACTTGCTAACTACTTTTTACATTATTCAGCCTGTATGCATGCTTAAATTAATATTAATTGATAATATAATAAGTGTGGGAAATATTTATAAACTTTGCGATAGACAATAAATATTAATTTTCAATATCTATGATACGTTTGATTCAGAGAAATACTGAAAATTGGAAGTAGAAGCTATTAGTGATGCGCACTATACATTTTTACAATAATACTATAAATTTAACTGTTTCTTCCTGTATTATTGCGCAGATTGACAAAAGAAGCCTTGACTTTATTCGCTATCGTATCATTTTCTATGCAATCGCGTTCTATGCAATCATGTAGAGATACGAATAGCCACTGTAACGGGATCGATGTTCCGCGAGCCTTTTGCCAACTATGTTCTCGGTTTTCGTTCGTGATCGGCGAACAGCGCAGCGGAATAATCGCGCGTTGGTCCACCATGGTGAACGTTGTTTGCTTCTATCGTGGAAGGTCAGCTACTTTATCTACTACGGGAAGGAACTAGCTTCGAGTTAGACGGTATAGTAACGTCGCACATTCGAAGCTACCCGAAAAGTAGGTGGAAACGCAAGTTCCTTTCCGATCTTCTCACGGGGTTAATTAGCAATCTTGAGAGTTAATTGCTTCAAGGGAAGGCATTGGGCGCGATTCGCGGGAACAATCTCTCAGTCGGAAGACCGTGTATGCTTCGTTACTATAGTTTCGTCTTTCAAGCGGCGCAATTCTGCCTAAAATTGCCGCAATTTGAAACTAATTTACGTGAGCTCATTGTGCCACTGTAGAAAGCATTGCAACAGTTAACGTAAACGTTATACAAATTGTGATTGTTGACACGACAGTAATTACATTTTCACCTACAAATATAAATAATGATAAATAATATTGTTATAAGTATTTTTTAAATTTTACTTTCATGTTAAACGTAAATGTCATTTATAATATTATTTATAGCCGAACATTTAATTACGCAATGTAACAACAAAGAATTTCGATATTTCAGATAATAGAGCTTTAGTTTCAATGTTGAGATTTTCAAGCAAGTAACTTTTAGGATCTAAGATAAATAGCTTATATGGGATAACCCATATCCTTTGTAAACTAAAATTGTGCCTCTTGTAGAAGATTTACCTGTCACTCGCTTATCACGACGAAAAGAAAAACAGGTTTTCAGAGGACACGCATTACTTATGTGTGTGTTGAACACTTTTGTGTGGTTTCAAGTGTCGTGACACAAGTGTCTTTTCAAGATTTATTTGGGCAATCTCTTATCTTATCGATACGTTCAAGATTTCTATTTACACTATATTCATTATAATACAGTGTAATACAAATAAATTTGTTATATAATTTTTGTACTTACCAATATTTTATTGTTTAAACCAAGTTTTTAGTTCTTCAGATTAAATTACAAGGACTAATTACTTTTAATATTGAAAAAATTTTTTTACGGACAATGGAGACTCCCCGAAAAAATTATATTCTTGTATACCAACGCGGGGGTCCATATATCAACGAAGAATTTAACCCCACAGAAATGCCTAAGATGATTTCACCGTAGACGTATTTTGGGGAGGGGGCGAGAATTCCTGGATGTTCCGAGTCCTTCATCGCGCGGCGCGATCTTTCTCGCTTACGTATCAAACTTTTAAGAATGTTGAAAATATATAGCCTGCTTCTGTCAATATAAGTCTTGCAATTTTCGTAAACATGAAATATGTTTGTTTATCTGACTTATAAGTACAATTAGTATTTATTAGTGATTGAATCAAGTTACGTTACTTCTCTCTCAGTTAACTCGTAACGAGAAACGGAATTTTTAATGTTGCCGCAAACAATGTAGTTTCGTTCTATGATTATTTATGAGACGACAGCTCTTTGCACTTCCTGTTTACCTATTTGCAGTTTCTGAAAAGCCGGAATAACGTTAAAAATTTATACAATTGTTGCATTATGAGATTCAATTCCGATGCGACTGTGTGATATGACCCGTACAATGTCTCTAATAGCACAGATCATATCGGCAGTACTTAAGCTTAATTCGTATATCTTTGCATGTTTTGTTATACTGCGTACAGTTAGTTGTCAGATGTCAGCGATAATTGGCGACTATCTACATAATTAGTGGCAACATCAATTAAGAGTATTCCTAGTGTCGCTAAACAACAACCGTTACATTCGAGAAACACGCGATACATTTCTCGCATTTGCAATTTTGCTGAAGGCGCGATTTGCAAGTCTTTTTACATTTCGCGACAATTTGCGGTGAAAACGCATTTCCAGACTAGTACTTCGGTGACGAACACCTGACATAATTTCCTACTATTATCGAGTCGTTTGCAGCCGGCGCTAGCAGCTCTTTTAAACTTGCATGTCGGAATGCTCAAAGGCGATTCGAACTACTATTTCTTTCGACTTGATATTACATTTCCTGCTTAACAACAAACGTCTTCTACATTGCTTTTTATTATTCGAGATTAATACCGTTGGGACATTTTCTCGAAGAAAATATTAAGAATATTCAGTTTGATTGTAGAGTTTTTTTTCTCACAGCAAGAAAATGCGGGCAGGTTTCCGCTACATTTAAATACTTGTTTACAACCGAATGCTTTACAAGCTGACAACTAGATTTGCATCCTGTCTGGTAAAGCAAGGAAATGTTCTAAGCTTACACCACGCAGGTGGCTACTTCTCTTACACGACAGTGCCCACGCTTGAATATCGACGAGATCGAGTAGACACTGTTCCTGCTTGTTACTGTGAGGTCAATTCTTCGCAGTACAAGTGCAATCCTTTAGTTTTAATGAACTCAAGTAGATTACATACGTATTCTTTCTTCAATCATTGTTATCAAATCTTGTTCGCGTGCATCGCGTACATCAGTGATAAGACTCGATCATATCTCATACATTATGGCGAAGCTGCTTATGTTTTTGCGCAATGATGTGTATATATATA